ATCCTATGAAAAACCGACCACGGGATTTTTTTCAGGAAAACTTTTGCTTGTGAAAATATGTTCTTGGATCCTGGCTATCAAATGCTGAAAGTCGCAGGTCTCTAACTTGTTTCTAGCGAAAGTTATTCAGAAAACATCCGAGTACACTGACTTTTGGCGCCGACTATAATAAATTAAATCTTGTGCTATATTTCCACAACCTTCAATTTGGAATTATTAAAGCTGAAATCAAAAAACAATTTTCTCAGACCAAGTGTGCAGTTTTTGCCGGATTTTCTAGTGGACCTTCTCTTAATGAGCACAAAAGAACTGTTAAGCGTTGCGTTGCGGCAAACTTTTGAAAATATTTCTCTCGGTTTGTAGTTTTTTTCACTTTTTTTCGAAAAAAACATGGAATATATTTATCTACCTTCATATCTCATCGTTTTCCTTGGAAAAAGTGGGCGAGTGTAATGTGTATTGTGGGAAGTTTAGCATCTGTGGCAATAAATGAATTACTAATAAGCTTTGCCGCCACACCACTCTGCACGTTATAATCATAACTTGATGAAAATTTATTTGCTCACTACAATGAAAACTATGAGAATTATCACAGGTGACCATTGACTTATGAAAAGGCATCAGACGAATCCTCAGAATTATTTATCCATAACAGGGTGCGTGTTGGAGTCAACGATTATCAAACGACACAAAGAAAAACCTGAACATGCAAGTCATTATCAGTGTTCTTATTATTGATATCGTCATTGAACAGGCGTTGTGTAATATTCTGAAGACATCCACAGACAGTAAGTTGTAGCGATTCCCATATATTATGTATGATTGATTCGATACGACTAAGAAATCTTATTGTTGAAAGGTAAAGGAAGAAGTTGGCAGGTTGTGTTTATTGAACCCTAGCCACTATTTTAGTCTTGGTATTAAAATCATGACGAAATCATTCTTTTTCTTTGTTGATTATAGAGTAAGCACATACTTGAATATAAGATTAACAAATTGCTGCTTTTTTTTTATGCAAGTTGAAGTTTTCTCGAACACAGTTGGATCTGTATTATTCAGGTAGCACAAGAGTCATAAAAGATACATCATGAGGAAAATATCATAAGTGAAAAATGAAATCGTCAAGTCAATAATAGAAAAAAAACTTCATTTGTGAATGAGCTCGAAAATTGAGGAGCGTGAGAAAATCAGCACGATAATCATTTTTGATACCAACGAAAAATACAACAATTCTCATGAGAGAAAAATCGAACACTTTCTATGTATCATAGTGAGCAATGGTAATTTTCACTTCGCCATTGTAACGGTGAGACCTGATCCGAAATTGCTATCGTTCCATTTTAATCCTGTTTAAACGTAATAAATGATTTATGTTTATATAACTTTCCTGGCTCAAATAGAACAAATAACTCTTGAATAATAAATTATCTATGATGCCCATAAGACCCCTGTCCCAAAAAGGGAGCTATAGAATATACTACTGAATATGCTTTAGTCTCTCAACCCAATAAAAGAGGAACCGTAGGTTATATACTTCTGAGTCTATGGTCTTTTTCATTTCTATCTGAATTTTGCAAAAAAAATTAGTCCGCTCATTCTAAACTACGCAGGCCAACAGGTGTAAAACAGAAACTCGCTTGCGGCAACTCACGCTACTGAAATCTATCTTACTACACATAAAACAGCAACCGTTTCTGCGACAAACCTATAGCCAACACATCATCTACAGTGCTGGTTTAAATTATACAATGACGCATGGTATTTTCAATAATCTATTGAGCGATTTCATCAGCATTTATGAAATGTTCTGTCTTGGCTTTAGATACGCTCTTTTGTATGACTTGGCGTCGAGTCAACAAACTCCTTACAATCTTTATCAATGTAATCCTACAAGTGCTCTATGCTATTGGGATTAGATGATGTTGCCGGCCATTGAAGGGCGTTGATATAGTGATCTTTTCACTATCTCATGGAATAATTCGACCAGTGAGGTGGTGCATTATCCTGCATAAACATCCAATCATTGTTTGACGCATCGAACGTATTTTCAATAAACATCGATGATGTTTCTAAACTAATTTGAATCTACGCTGGTTCATTCACCTTAACAGGAAACATAACCAAAAGACTGCTAGCACTAACTGATATGCAGCCTCATACGCTGACATATCTTCCTACTGTCTTGCACTAGGAGTATGAAATTAAACGGTTCATCGTTTTCTGTTCGCAAACAACGAATCAAAGTACCATTCATGTGGTTTAACACTTTGAAATGCGTCTCGTCACTCGAGATAACATTATTCCATTCATTCAATTAATGCTGATGGTTTTTAGCAAACAAGAGCCGTTGTTTTAGTTGTAATTTGTAGCTTTTCTATTCCGCACTGAAGAGACATCGACCAATAGTTTGAGCACTTCAATGTTTACCGTATGAAAGAGCCAACTCAGTAGATAGCATCGGGCTGGATTTGGTTCTATCTTTCTTGCACAATTGTAATCAATTTCAACTATCAGCCGGCATTGATGCTTTCTTGCATCCGTGGCCTGATGTATTGGAGAGTGGCGCATTTTGATTTAATTTTTTCATTTCACTGAAAACAAGTTTCTGCGAAACGCCCACGTTATTCCCAACACGACATTGACTAAACTCGCTCTCTAGTCATGCTTTAACCTTAGTTTTCCTGTCGAATGCTATCTTAACATGACTCATGGAAACCGATTACTAAATTAATAGATAAAAAAACAGAACTATATCTGACAACAAACATCTGAGACAACTGAAATAGTCTCATAAAAGTTTTCACTCTGCTAGAGTAACATCCGATTCAATCTTGATGGCATGCATGACAGAAAGAAAATGGTATACCATGCGTTTTTGTATCATTTTGGCCGGCACTGCATTTCATATACATGGTAAAGACGACTTCGAATCACATTAACATTATTCAAAATTATATATGCTGAACTGTATGCTTTGTTTTGCCTTGTTTTCTTCAATGAAAACAATATTTTTTTACAACAAATCATAAGTTTCATGTTTTCTTATTTAAAACCATTGTGAAACAGAAGGGAAAGGCTTCTCAATTTATGTAACGCTACACTAGGCGTGATACATATAAGTTTTTAAATAGCTGATATTTTCACAGTTGCATAAGGCTATCAGTTGACATAGTTTTCTTAACTGAATCGAATCTTATCTGATATTTTGGTGATGAAAACTTGAATTGAAAACTACTGCCGATCAAGAGTTTCTGACAGTTCGTCAAGGGCGAATAGCGTACTTTGTACTCAAAGGTAATTGATACTACTCAAAAGTATTGCTAGCTGCTTTAAAATACGTTTCTGTAATTGTAAAAGCACTTCGGCATACTAGAAGTAAGCTGTTTCCCTCTAGTGAACGGTTGAAAACAGTTCAGAAACGTGAGTCCGAAATTTCGAAGTGAAAGCTCTTCTCTTTAGCTCAAATATACCCTTGGATAGTTGGCTAACGTGTCGCGAACATATTAATCTTAATCAGAACAATCGGATATCATCACTGTGCGATGAGGAAAAATGAACTCTAAATTTAGAGCTGATGCTATGTTGACGACGACTAGAAATTTGTAAGTTGAAGACTTTCAAGATCATATTGCTGAATGGTGACAGCTACAGAAATCAATGGAAACGAGCAGAGAAAACTAGCTTTAGTGCTCTTGAAGTTGATTAAAAGATCGAGAAGAACCAACCGGCTTTAAATATTCTAGGGGTGCGGATAGAAAATCAACGAATTGACCAGTCCAGTTTCTACTGTACACTGTAGACAACTCTGCTTTGAGCAGTTCGCCCGCTAAACCTTCAGTATATCATTGATTCAAGTACGATGTCGGAATTAATATTATTCCTGTTGCTAATCATCATCCTTATATTTGTCGTGATGTTTTTACTATTTCGATCTGAAGAATATCATGTTTCAGTTTTATCAAATACAATTTAGTTCATGATGTCGATTATCGATGTGAATCGTTGTAAAGTTTTGTGAGTCATTCGAAACGAAATCGAAAAGAGAGCATCTGTAGATTAAAAAAAATTAGTTTTAGAATTATGCTAACATCAATATTTCATAAACAACCACTATGTTGCCTGCTTCAACTTGATTCGTGACATTATAGAGCAGTTGTCATACCAGTATCTACTACTAGCTTAACATATGAATCAATCTTACTATCTATTATTGAATAGACCACTCGTTTTGTTCAATTTCATGATCCATGACAACCCCAAACAGTGCATTCTCTACAAACACCTACCACAATCGTACATACATTTACTCAGAGTCTTCCATTGATCCAGATGGAAGTGGGTAAATTGGTTTAGATAGTCCATTATTTTGATTTAATAGATGAGGCAATAGTACGAGAGCTAAAAGAAGATTCCTGTTTATCAATGTATTGAACATCCCTCGCTTGCAACTGATAGATTTAGGAGAGAATCGAAAAATATGCTAACCCATGAAGTGAGGGTCTGAAAAAGCATGTACATTTTTGTTTTCTAAATTCACACATATTATAAGCAAAAAAGTGATTTCCCTTTAGTAATTATGTCACCATCATTTTCGGGGAGTATTTGCTATAATTTACGATGATGGTGACATATTCGCTGTATATAAATAACTTTATTTATAATAATTTGTGAAAATGTAAATAATCTAAATGAACATGCCTTTTTAGGCTCTCACTGTACGATTAATACAATCACAGACTCAAAATACAAACCTTCTTTATCTGTTGTCTACAATAAAGATCACGTAGCAGGAACGAAAACTCTCTTCTGTTTCTACCACATAAAAAAGACTTATGTGCAACAAACTTGAATCCTTGTCTTAGCATACTGAGCGTTAAACAAATTTGTTCCAAAAGTCACAAACAATTTTCATTTCATCATATGCTAAATTATACTCACTCCCTGAATAGACAATCTTTAATGTTTCACAACATGATCATTTTCAACTTGAATACATATAAATGCTTCTTTTAGACTGGCTATATACTGGCAATATGACATATGCACGACAGTTCCATACAGCATCCTTATTAACCGATGGAAAAGTGTTAGTTACTGGTGGAACTAATGTTGCTTCTTATTTAAGTAGTGCTGAGTTATATGATCCATCAACAGGTAGCTGGACAACTACTGGTAACTTAAGTAATGCACGAATGGGTCACACAGCATCCATATTGGCCAATGGAAAAGTGTTAGTTACTGGTGGAGGGAGTGCTAGTGCTGAGTTATATGATTCATCAACGGGTCGTTGGACCACTACTGGCAATATGAAATACGCACGACTGTTCCACACAGCATCTGTATTAAATGATGGAAAAGTGTTAGTTGTTGGTGGTATGGGGACTGAGATTGAATTTCTGAATAGTGTTGAGTTATATGACCCGTCAACTCGTAGATGGACCACTACTGGCGACCTAAATTATGCACGAAACTGGCACACAGCATCCGTATTAACAGATGGAAAAGTGTTGGTTACTGGTGGGTACAATTATCAGGCTGGGTATATTAGTAGTACTGAGCTCTATGATCCGTCAACAGGTCGTTGGACCATCACTGGCAATTTAAATCATACACGAACATATCACACAGCAGCCGTGTTAACCGATGGAAAGGTGTTAGTTATTGATGGAATTAGTGGAGATGTTGGACTGCTACCTAGCGCTGAGTTATATGACCCGTCAACAGGTCTTTGGACCAATACTGGCGACCCAAATGCTCCAGGAATGTTCCGCACAGCATCCGTATTAACCGATGGAAAAGTGCTAGTTACTGGTGGAGAGTATTATGAGGCTCAATCTTTGGATGCTGCTGAGTTATATGATCCATCAACACGTAGTTGGACCAATATTGATAACTTGCATAATGCACGAATGGGCCACACAGCATCCGTATTGATCAATGGAAAAGTGTTAGTAACCGGTGGAATTGAGCTTTACACTCTAGCTAGCGCTGAATTTTATGATCCATCAACAAGTCGTTGAACAACTACTGAATAACTTCAACAATGCATGAGTGTTTCAGAAAGCATGAGAGTTTCGGTCTGCGTGTAAGATTCATCTGTGTCTTTAAATCAAAATCGAAGGTGAAAGAAGCATAACGAATTCATTAAGGATTATTCACTATCATCTCATTTGTCCATAGACATATTCTGTGCACTCAGATTAGCTTGAACATCCCCAACAAATATGCACTATATAACATGAAAGACTAGACAGAAACGATCACAAAACCAGAAGACTCTATTTCAGATGGTGCGCTCGCCTGAATTCAAACTATTCAAAGCTATATAGAACGGCACTGTTACGACTAGAATGGAAACTGCCAGATGATTCTGATCACTATTTGGTGGTGTTCTTGGAAGCTTTTATGATCGGTAATTTTTGATTAACATCGACTGATTGATTCGACGATTTCAATTGTGAGATTTTGAGGTGTACATGTAGGAAGTGTTTTCATCTCGAATAGATGTAAAGGAAATCAGTGAACCAATATTGATGGAGGTTCGTTTTAAGGATTCAATTAGTTGTTCAGCTCATGTCCGAATGAAAGTGCTGGACGAGTTTTCATTAATGTGTGATCCCCTTGCGATGCTGGGTGCGCGTCGAATTGGATGATTGATGCGATGTCGCCGTTCTAAAAGATAGAAAGTGGAGGTGAATTATTCGATTCTGTTGTCGGTATTGGTTTGACTTCCGGAAACTCACCAATGTGTGCTTTGTTTGTCAATAAGGATTTTTCGGTCGTTTACGGATTAACTCATTCTGAGCATCACGAAGATTTCGATTGTCGACAATCAATTTCACATCATGTCCTGTGGTATTTTTTAGTAGAGCGTTTTAAATCTGATGTATGCCCTTCTTGAACGAATACAATTTTTTCTAATGTATATAATGAGCGATCATTTTATCTTCAAATGGGGTGTTCTCTTTCTTGGTTATTCTAGTTGTGTCTCTGCTGTCGATCACATCTTTATCTGTCTGATAATTTTCAAGGTTGATTATAGCTGCCAGGATGAATGTGAGGGTGTTGATTGTCCCATCAGGATTCGAAGCAGAAACTTGAATTGCTCTTCATTTTGAATCATTGGCAGCAATGACGATGAAGAGACGTATTCAATCGAAAATTTCCGGCATTGTTCATCAATAGATGTCGATGGGTAACAAAAAGATATGGCACCAAGGCTCCACATCGTAGAACAGTACCAGTCGAGTGTGACGTTACTCGTCGGAGAATACTTGAAATGACGATGCATATCGAACAGTGCATGCAAGAACAGTTTGAATAATATTTCCAAAAACATGTAGTGGGTGTGGGTGGAATTCACTAGGGCACCTCTGCTGTTCCGGTCAAACCCACACCTTCTAGAGAGCATCTTCCGTTTGACTTCCTGAGAGGTGTGTGATGATCTCGATTTTTAATAAATATTTAGAAACAGCTCAAAAAGAATAGCTTTTAGAATTTATCTTACAGAGCAATGGTAGTCAGTGAAGAGCATTATAATAGTTTTGTGGTAGGCCTAGTACGTTTCCACATTTTCAAAGAGAGAATAATCACTTTTTTGCAAGAATCTGTCAGCGAGCTTTCCGCGCATAGGCTATGTGTGTGGATGCCAGTCTTTCATTTGTGTACATCAGGGGATGTAGCTAGGAGGGGAATCAAAACCACAAATTGGCTCATGTATTATACTGATGAAATCGAAAATCCTTAGGGATTTGCTTTTTATGCCATTATTACGAGACCAAATGTGCTCTTCATCGCGATTTAAACGCACCTGAGCTACAAACAAACCCAGCATAAATAGAGAAAATCTTATCAGTGTGCCTGTTCTAGGATTCGACCATATTTTTAATCTATTTGTTAAGCAGCTGGGAATTCGTTTCGGTGTTAGCTGAATTAATAGACAGTCACGTCTGAAACGATCGGAAAACGAAATATAAAAGTCAAGCTTTCAGACAAATTATTCAATTAGGCAAAAAAAATTAACAAAAAGCTATAAGTAAAAACCATAAGAAAAAAACTTATTCATTTTCTGAGGGCCACACTTTAGAAAAAGATTCTTAAGAAAGATTGGGTGTGTGGGAGTGGGTGTGCGCGTGTGTGTGCGTGTGGAAGTGCGAGTTTTCCTTAGTGCTATCCACACCCACACCCTCTATTTAGAAATATGAGTATGAAAATAATTTGAGAAGATCCATATATTAGAGGATCCTAGACTTTTAGATCTAGGTGATTTCTTTTGAAGCAATCGACTAAAGTCTTGCAAAACCATCAAGTCTTGCCAGGTTTTATTTCTAGTTGATATTTTTACTTCGTTTTATTCATCATAAGGCTAGGAAAAAAGTTAAGCATCGTTTTAATTCTACGTCTTAACATTGTCGAGTAAACCCACTTTTCTACACGAGTGGCAAAATGACCAAAAATAAGGTGATATTTTAAGATTTCTACTGCCAAAGGTTAACGTTTGACCAAGCTGAGTCTGATATTCAGAATCACCATTAAAAACTGCATTGAATAACATAAATTTTATCATAAACTATGTTCCAACGAAATCGGATCTGTACTCCTTCACGGAGAAAAATTCAGTAAAAAACACCTGAGGGAGAGTACAGATCCGATTTCGTTGGAACATAGTTTATGATAAAATTTATGTTATTCAATGCAGTTTTTATTAGTGATTCTGAATATCAGGTTCGATTTGGTCAAATGTTAACCTTTGGCAGTGGAAATCTTAAAATATCACCCTATTTTTGGTCATTTTGCCACTCGTGTAGAAAAGTGGGTTTACTCGACAATGTTAAGACATAGAATTAAAACGATGCTTAACTTTTTTCCTAGCCTTATGATGAATAAAACGAAGTAAAAATATCAACTAGAAATAAAGCCTGGCAAGACTTGATGGCTTTGCAAGACTTTAGTCGACTGCTTAAAAAAAAATCACCTAGATCTAAAAGTCTAGGACCCTCTAATATATGGATCTTCTCAAATCATTTTCATACTCATATTTCTAAATAGAGTTTTACATGCTGTTTTCAAAAAGAAGCCTTTCGAGCTTGTGAAAAGGGTTATATGGCTCAAAACGCGGGTTTTCTTGAAAATAACGAGTATTGTGCTTAGGAGACCAAAAATTGAGTTTTCTGAATATTTTCAGTTAAAAGAGGCACTTGATACTTCTTTCTGTATGCAGTTTTGTAGAGCTCGGCGAGCTCTATCTAGCCATATATAAATGAATGGAAAAGAAAAGCTGCTCGAATTTTGCATTTCCTCAGCCTGATCTCAGCCACTAGTTTTCGTATGACCGAAATATTTCAAGAGCAATAAAAACAAAACAAATTAAATTTTTTGAATCAAGAAAGAAAATAAAATGATCAGAAGCTCAATTAATATTTTTGAACGATAAATAAGGCTTCAAATATTCAGTCTTGAAATACATATTTCTCTAAAAATAATAATCACGTATAATTCGGTATAAGTGTCTTATTTTTACTAAAAAAAGTTTTTTAAATAGTAATTGTTTCTGAATTAAACTCAGATATTATCATCATGATAATCACGAGCAGTATGACGAGATTTTTTTGTCTTTCATTATGAACTAAACATATAATATATGTACAAGCTTACACGTTTGTATACATTTCGAGCAGAATGATAAAAACGAAATAACGAAAAACACAGTCGGTAATTCAGAGAGAGAAAACGAAATATCCTTGTTGTTTCTACTGTGCAATATTGTTTTAAGATTTTTTTCTGAAGACTTGGTAGTACGCCTTCGAAAAAATTAATACGTTTTGCTTAGCTTTTTATGTTCTTTCGAATGATTTAATTTTTATTGAGTCGACACAAGATCGAAAATTTTGAATCAGTTCATGTGAAATTTTTTTCTACCTTTCTGCGGTAGTTATAGGATTGCTCCATCTGAATCATAGTTTAAAAATTCGGATAAGATTTTTTTTCATTTTCGCTACAAGCAAATACTGACCCGATATTTTTTTGATTTATTTTCAACTTCTTCTTATGCACTTGAAGGTTCGATTAAATTCGAACTCGAATTAGGCAACTCATGGAATATTTATTTGAAACTGAACAGAAAAAGCAATTTGATACAAGATATATGTTAGTATTGGATAATAATAAAAAAACAGGTTAGTGTTGCTAAAAAAAAACCTAATTATAGGGAAAAAAACGAGTTTAGGTATTAAGATGTTGTTTATTGGCATTCGTTGACAAGTTGAAGCTAGATTGCTGTTAACTGTAAAAGAAAAAAAAAGATTCAATAGTTTAAAAAAGAAGTATTGAAATAATTCTTTGCAAGTAAGTTGCTATCTGTTTATGGATATCAATTCGACATACCGAGAAATTTGATTACTCTGTTCGTATATTGCTCTATATCTGATACAGCGATATGAGATTATTCATAAACAACGTCCATAGCCATGCGAAAGCCCAAAGAAGGATTGATATCGCCTAAGTGACGTCCTTCTCCAAGCTAGAAGCTAACATATCTTCAAAGACTGTATGTCGATAAGTGCAGTTTTCATGCCGTTACTTATTGCAAATTTAGGTTCTTAGAAAGAATCATCTAAAGGAGGTTTCGAATGGATTCGACTGTTTCTGCCGAAAATTTATTTCATTATTGTTAGATTTTTAGAAGTTGTCTTGTAAAAATTGACTTCAGTTTTTTTCTTTCATGAATTTTTACTGCTTTGTGAAAAATGATTGTGTCAGTGTTCTTTGCTATTGACAAACTATATCAATGCCCGATAGCTTTGCCCATTTTGACCATTACATTTCGTAATGACAGTTTTGGTTTTTTATATGTCCATTCTCTGAAGACTACACACTTGCGCGCTATGACGGCAATTTCAAAGTACCTTTCAACATTAATTTTATCGAATATGAAATTCAAACTATCGAGAACGAAGTGCGCGATCTGGACAAGAATGATTTTCTTGAGAATAATAGAAACTGAAATACTTGCCTACTCAGC